TAATTCAGTATTATTAACAAACTGTGAGAGATGACTAAGGCAACTCTTATCTACTATCGATCTTGTTATCTACATCAATCTAAAACAATAAGTATGATCACAAATGCAACTTGGTATATAGCGAATGAACAGCTGCATATACAATTACATGTTCGGACAATCAAGAAAGAAATAGCTAGTATTTTAAAAATTACGCTCATCACATATATCCAAACTCACTAGTTACACACCTGATGTCCCCTTCCAACACTTTTACAAGGCTTAGATATGTTATGTACATGTACAAACTCCTTCACCACTATTAATACTCTAAACAGTGTCAGATTGTGGAAAGCAAAAGTTATAAGCCCTGTTCCCCGTAGTACCACATTTACACCTCCTATCAGGTGTGGCAAATAAAACTGCTTCACTACTATTAATACTCCAAACAGTATCAGATTGTGCCTACTGGATTTTAATTTCATCTTACGATAGACATACGTAATACTTTGACGTCTATCCTAAAGGGAAAAATTTTGTTGCTATTGGAAGTTTACAGTTTTTATGGAGAAACTTTTTTCAACTTTTACTCTTTCATATCTGTCACCTAACGGCGCTTATACATCTCTAACGCTGCAACTACATAATTGATGTTTCTTATTTAGAATATAAGAATATAATTAATAATTATATAATAATAATTATATATATAATATTTTGTAATTAATAAAATATTATAATATATTAAAAAAAGAACTTAATAACTATTTAATTGTCAGTAATAATTTTGTTATTACATTATATTTTATTGTGATTCTATCTAATACTATACTTATGTATTTAAAAGCGTCAGATCTAAGTTGAAAGCGTCAGATCAATGTTATAAGTTCACATATAATTGGTAATATGTTTATTGTTTAAAGGAGATGCTGCAAACTTTTTAAAAAAATAACTTTTTTTGTTATAAATTATTTTATATTGTTACTTCTTATATAAATGTCTAGAAATTTATGGAATTAATTGTCAAAGTAAAGTTTTAAATAATAAACAAATTTATTTTATATTTTAAAAGCTTTTAAATTGCATAAATACGGAACCTAAGAAAAACAGGCTATTTATGTACTCATAAATGCTAACAAGATATTCGTGCCGTTTTTGATATATTACTTTATAATTTCCTATGTAGGTATGCAGTAATATTTAATTTAATCGTGCTTTAATTAACTTCAGAAATTGATACTTAATTTGTTTATTTTATTTCGTTTTAAATGAAAAATCGATACCCATACCATAAACCTGTTGACCAACTTACACAGTTTAGCAAAAATGTTAACTTATCAAATTTCTAGTTAAACGTGTTTATTAAAAATTAAACAAGGAAAAAATAATAAAGTAACTTGAATTTTTTCTGATATCAATTAAATAAACCAAATATTTTTTTCAATACAATATTTAATATCAAACCAATTCTCTCTTTTGATCTCCATGTTAGTTTAAGTCAAAATATTTAACAGTAGCAAATGCACAATAACATTTTTCTGTTAAATAACATACAAAAATATGTATGGTGTGAAGTCAACATAAATAAGACGTCGAATGAAGCTGTGATTTATTATTATTGCTTCACGCATGAATATTATGCTTCAAACAACAACGAAAATATATAAACCATATAAAATACTTTCTGGAAAGTAGAAAGAAAAAAGTTAATACTCTTTTGCAATTGAAAGTATTTTTTCAACTTTTCTTTTTATAAGTTTTTCTTATAGCAAATAAAGTAATGCAATTATTTTTTGTAGCCAATAACGATCCGTTGCTGATATTGTTGCTACTGCTGCTGTAGCAGCAATTTCAATTTTCGTTATCGGCTAACCACAAACTTATTAGCAATGAAAAGCAACAACAATAGCAACAATGAAAAGTGATAGTTTAATTATTCACATTTATTCGCTTCGTTTATTGTTGTTATCATTCATTAACTGGTTTTCACTTTTTATGCCAATAGCAGCAACAATTGCTAGTTGCTGCGTTGTTGTTGTTAATTTTGTTGGTTTCTTTAAAGCAATATACTTTAGGTTTTAGTAAAAAAAAATTGTTTGATTATTTTTGTTCAGGTGGCTGAAATAGTTTTTTTAAGTTTTATTTTTTTTTTGTTAAATTTGCTTTTTAATAATGCTGCGAGCGACCCACTTTCATTTAAACAGCAGCATCACGAAATGCAGTTCTCAATTTAAACATGACAGCAACGATGTTAATTTACTTCACGTACAAAATGGTACAAAGAATTAATGAAGTATTGTCATGTAAGATCATTTAACCTCTGTTAGATATCAGAAAACAGAAATTACTAAACACAATTAATCGCAATAATGAAGTAAAGTTGTTTGATTTAAGTCCAGATATTTATTTTCTAAATCTTACAAAATCTTACATGAGCTATGGTTCTTAATTCAGTGAGATAGAATAGCAGTATTTTAATAACAGAATTAATATGCATATATGTTATTTGTTTAACAGACACTATATTTTATGTTATATTTTATGTTTCATAAAATTTTTTGTTTTATGTTTTTCTTTAATCAATTTTAAGAAAAGCTATATAAAATACATGTTGATATATTGATGCTGATGCTCGCATCTATAAAGCGAAAGTCGCGTTGAGCAAACTACACAACATATATTAGAAATTCTCCTGATGCAGGCAAAAGCGAATTTGTCGAAACACGTGTGGAGATACACAAACATAACGTTCGAAATAAAAGTTTAAAATATTAAAAAAACAAAAACCGCCTTTGAAAGATTTTCGACGTAACGACTTATAAATTTAAAACAAAAACATATAGCGGTCCAGTGAACTCAGGAGGCAGACAAAACTGCGAATCTTCAATACAAATGTGAAATCTATTTTGTACTACGACTGTAAAACATGGAAGCACTCCAGATATGTAGAGAGAAAGATGCATGTGTTTGTCAACAAGTGTCTATGTAGAGTTCTGAAAACATGGTGGCTCAAAAAGACGCACAAAATGAGCTAAAAATGAGAAAGTGAAAATGAATAGGTTATACGGTTAGACATCCAAAAGATTACATAGCTAAGCAAGCATTGGCATTAATACAATTGCCTGCAAACAAGCTAAAGAATCCATTTCGTAACGATCAAAAGCCAGAACTAAAGAGCTACGTATGCTAAACAGAAGTGGCATCACTGATTTCTCACTGGGCATTGTGGAATTAAAAAGCATCTATTGAACCTACATATTATTAGAGACGATAGCTGCAGACTTTGTTACAAAGAAGAGGAAACAGCAGAACACTGTGATAGTCTCGCCAGACTCAGACTTCGGTACTTATACACTGCCTATCCACTTATCACGGAATTAGGCAACATCTCTCGAAAGGACGTAATGGCGTTTTTAACTGTAACTCGTCTATGGAACTAAAGTGGGTATGTGACAATAATCCTCAAAGGATGCAGTGACGTTATGACAATTTCCCAATCCATCTTAAAATCTAATCTAAATCTAATCAAAGCGTTGGAAAGTGAGCTAGATGAAGCATGATATACATGGAACGACATCTACAGAGAACCATCAAATAGGGCAGATTTAGAAGAATTTTTAAGGCCGTATGCCCCACTGGGGGAAATTGATAATAATAGTATACAAAATATATAAGACTTTTCTTGAATGTTTATCAAGTTCTATAAAACATGTTACTGGAGAGCTTTAAATGAAATATTTAATTGTATTTATGAAATTTATCTCACTCAATTATACATTTTTTTCTGAGTGCATAGTAAGTAAACAGCGCAAAGGCATGATTCAATAACAGTTTTTTATTTTACTTATAATATTATAATTATTTTAATAAATTTTATAATTTTATTAATAAAAACTTAAAAAAAATTACTCAAAATTGATTTTTTAATTTGTTTGCATCATTTGAAATTTTCTCAATAATTGGGTATATATAAACTAACAGATATGCCTTCATTGGAAAAATATTGTACATGATCCTGCTTATCATATGTAGCGTTTGAACTGAATACTATTAACATCAAAAGATAAAGAAACAAAAGACATGAAACTATAAATAAATTTAATCTTTCATTGTGAAAACATTTTGTGGAAATCTTGTCAGCTTTATCACTAAGCCATAATAAAATCGTGACTAAACATAATAGAAACTTTGAGCCTGAATTTCATGTCATGTATCAGTCAATTTATTTTGCAATAATTTTTTCGGTAATGAATTTCTTTGTTACCAAAAAATTTGTAAAAGAAAATGTTTCCAAAGAAATTAATATTTTTACATTAAACCTGCTTGCACATACGCGCTGAATTTATTTCTTAAAATATACTATAGTATATTAATTCATATTTATATACGTACACACATATATATCGTATAAAGCCTTTTTATAGTTATTACGGTTTTGCCTAATCAAGCTTACATAATTGCACCTGTTTTAATGGCAACATGTGCGAGACATGAGTACAAAATCACAAGAAAAAAACAGGAAATAAATTGGAGTAATATATGTAGTTTAACTGAAAAAATGCAATATAAATAAAATACCAAAAATTACGGAAAATAAAAACTGATTTTCTTTGGACTACATTATTTCTTTATTATTCGTATTTTGGTTATGTTTTTCGATAACCAACCATGCATTTCATAAGTATAACAGTATGATTAATAACATGGCTGCCAGCTCATGTTAAAATCTTGCATCATAACAGTAGCTAATGCAATACATTTTTATTGCACTGTAAACTCAGAACTAAAACTCTGTTAGCAATGGTAACTTGAGTAGAATGTATACATACCTCAGCTACTTTTAATAAATTTTAACTGAATTAAATTGAGAAATTGATATAATTATATAAAGAATAATAAATTAAAACACTTAGTTATTTTGTTTTTATTTCATTTTTAATAAAAACCTATTTTAGGTAGTATAATTTTTAATATGCAATAATTATAATATTTTATCTTAAGTTTTATTATATCAGCTTTAATTAAATTATTTTAAAATCATGAGTTTCTAGTGATTCATGATCATATATATATATATATGTATGGCATGTATTCATACATATGGATTCCCGTTGTTCCATGTAGGACAACAGGCCACAATACCATTTAAGTATGATTAATTCTCGTTGAAGTTAACAAGCATTAACTGCAAAAAAATTTAACTTAATTTTATTAAATAGCTTAAATGTTAATTACGTTAATAATCATTAAAATATAAAATAATATATTATATATTAAAACCTGAAATTTTTTGATATATATATTCCTGTCGTTGATTTACTAACAAATGGAATGGCTTTTGACATTTTAAAAATCTTGAAATGAACAAAATAAGACGATTTAAAATTTTTTTTAATAAGTATTTGGCTAACAGCTATGTCTTTATTATTTAATTTTTATTACAAATGAAGTTCTAGTACCTGTAAAGATTTTATTAATAATATATTAATTTAAAAAAAAATTTTAAAAACTGCTGGATATATCGGTGGTGTATATAGGCCCCCTGTATTCCTTTCTTTGATAATATAATCTACCGATAATGCATTTCAAAAACACTGCAAAATTTTTTCTAGTGTGTTCATATCTTGAAGGATATTACTTTAGATTTCCATTTTTCAGAAATATATTTATAAAAAAAAAAATTCCATACATTTAAATATTAAAATAATCTTATTAATTAATTTTTATTAATATTAATAAAATAAAAAAAAGGAAAAAATTAAAATAAAAAACAAATTCATTTTTTATAATACCATTTAAAAAAAACTTATTCTCCATATAACACAAAAAACGTCTGATAAAGACTTAAAATTTTTAATTTATAGAATTGTTTATATATATATGGAAATTCCACTTTTATTTATATTTCCATTTAAAATATTTATTCAGAAATTTTTTGTCATTTAAAGAAGACGCAATTAAAATATTTTTACTATTAATTTTTTACAGATGTTAAGAACTTTAAGAACTGGTTTAAGATGTTACTGAATTAATGAAAAAAATGGGTAGGCACAAAAGACTTAAACAACGAACTTGCTATCAGAAAGCTTCTGAAATTAATTAAAATAAATTTTTATTGTTTTTTTTCTCCTTTCGCTTAGCTTTTTATCTTAAATTAGATATAGGATTAATGTTTTTCTAAAAAACAAAATTAGCAATACAAATGCGAAATTTGTGAAACTTTTATTACAAATTTATTTACTGAAATAAAAAAATTTCTATTAAATTAAAATATATGCAAATGCTATTCAGTTAAAAAGCTAAACTAAAGTCAAATCAGATATTTGAAAAACAAAATTCTTACGTAAATAGAAATGATGCTGTAACGTTACCTAATGTTGTAGGCGCGCAAAAAGAATTATTTGAAGTTTTTGATCAAAATTTCTATGACACCCTCTCGCAATCGTGTGTGTCATCACGACCTTGTTTTCACCGAATAAGGCTTAAATACATCACACCATGCTATAGCGTACCGCAGTAGGGTCTTTAGTTCAAGAACTGGGAAACATAATATGGTGGAGAATGACTATTTTTTATATTAATAAAAAAAGTGGTCCAAAAACCACTTTAGTAAAAAATTACTTAATATCTTAAAAATGGTTTTTCGAAATTCTTGATTCTAACGAAATATGTTTTCAATATTAATCGAAATACGGTTGTCAGGCTACCTAAAAAATCGTTTTGTTAAATATTAGATATTATCTCAAAAGTATATTATTTAATCGGGTTAGAGTACAAGAGTAAGCACTGCTTATTTTAGTTTAAAAATTTTTAGCTCAAGATAAAGCCTAGCTGATTACTTTCATAAAATCCTTTTTATGAAGATTGATATTGAAATCTGCATATTTCTTAAAACTGAGTCAATATATTTGCTAAGTGACAGTCTTTTTTTTTCTTTCATGGTTGTCTTTCATCAATGTGAATCGATACATAAGCTCATGTTATATTATAAATTACACTAGAATATTATGAAAGACTCAGTGAAAACATTTTTCCGGTACTGTTTTTGATTCACTTTTAGTAAAAACAAATTTAAAATTAATGACAACTTTATCAGTTACAATTTTCAATGAAGTATTATATTTACCTACTGTTTTGAGAACATCAAGCTTTTTTGAAGTTCTTTATTTAAATTCGAATAAAATGAATAGACCGGCGTAAATGAGTTTTGAGAAGCAACTGACTTTATTATTGTAAAACAACATTTCACAAGTAAATTAAAATATAGCAGGGTTGCCAGGCAACTATTATGATTTGTCTAGACATTCTCCCCCCGTTGGAACGATGGCGTTACAAGATTCATCATTTAATGGCAAAATACAGAGCCGTGAAACCGCACGTTTAAAAACGCCATTTTTTGTGCGTACCATGGCAATGCGCACAACACCGTCGTTACCAGCTATGACTTCAACTACCCTGCCTAAAACCCAATGAAGCGGTGGAAGATTGTTGTCTTTTATGAGAACCATTGTGCCGATCGTCATATTCGCAGTGGACTGTCGCCATTTAGAGCGCTCTTGTAGTTGTGTAAGGTATTCACTGCTCCAACGTTTCCAAAACACCTGTTGTAAAAAGCAAATACGCTGCCAACGTCCTAATCGGTTTATGTTTAAAGCTGTAGAGTCAGGCTCAACGAAGGATGTAAATGGAGCACCAATTAAAAAATGCCCGGGTGTGAGAGCATTAAGGTCGTCTGGGCAATCTGAAAGTGGAAACAAAGGTCGAGAGTTTATTATACACGATATTTGACACACTAAGGTGCGTAATTCATCAAAGTCGAGAGCAGCTAGACCAGCTACACGATAGAAGTGGTATTTGGCGGTTTTGACGGCGGACTCCCAGAGACCACCAAAATGCGGCGAACCGGGAGGTATAAACTTCCATTCAATGTTATCACAGAGACATTGCTGGTGAACCAATTCACAATGCCTTTGACTGAAGAAAAGTTTCTTGAGATCATCAAGCTGATATTTAGCACCACAAAAATTGGTTGCATTGTCTGACCATATAGTTTTGGGTTTACCACGAGTAGAAATAAAACGTTGCAATGCTGCAAGAAAGGCTGAAGTTGTTAAATCCTTAACTACTTCAAGGTGCACCGCCTTGGTTGTAAAGCAGATAAATAAGCAAATGTAGCACTTGATTGGATGCTTGTTACGAACTTCTGATTTATAATAAAAAGGTCCACAATAATCCACACCCGTAATCACAAACGCTCGATTAGGATGAACTCGTTCATGTGGAAGCTGACCCATAATATGCCTTGCAACTGTTGGTTTAGCACGAAAACATGTTATGCATTTATTAATGACCCTTGAGACAAGCTTTCTCCCTCCCATAGGCCAATATTGTAGTCGTATAGAAGCGAGAACTGATTGTGCGCCTGCATGCAACCATTTACGGTGATAATGATTTATGATCGCATCTGTGAGTGGATGATTTCTAGGTAGAATGATTGGATGTTGAGCATTAAAATCCAAATTGGAGTTTTTAAGACGACCACCAACACGAATTAAGCCATTATTGTCCATAAATGGTGACAGCGAGAATAACTTGCTTGAACTGTTTATCAGTCTTTTACGTTCTAGATCATGATACTCCGTCCACAAATTTGCCCTTTGTACTAAGCGAATTAGCATAAAGGTTCCCAGGTTTATGTCATGAACTGTTAAAGTACCCGACCGATCTTTATTGACAAATTTATACACGTAGCCAAAAATGCGCTGCATTTTCTCGAATGAGTTGATAAATTTGAATTTGATGGACATATCAGTTATATTCGAAATTGAAATTAAGATTGTTCGTCTTTCTGGTAAATTATGTTGAAATGTAAAGGTAGCAGGCCAATCAGAGTGATCAAAACGTAAGAACGATGGTCCAAATCTCCAAAGCGTTGATTTCACAAGTTCATTTGGAGTTGCTCCCCTGGATAAAATGTCAGCAGGATTCATGTCGGTGGGTACATGATGCCATGTCATACCTTCAGTAAAATGTTGAATTCTGCTTATACGATTTGAAACGAATGTGTTAAATGTAGAAGCTTCAGATTGAATCCATGTCAATACAATGGATGAATCAGACCAGCAATGTATTTCGCCCATGAATATATTTAACTTCGAAATTTGATTAATCAATTGTGCCAATAAAACTGCGGCACACAGTTCCAACTTAGGAACTGTCAACGTTTTAAGAGGTGATACTCTAGATTTTGAACAAAGTAAATTGACACTGACTGAATCTTCAAACCTGGAGACGACATAAACACAAGCTCCGTAGGCGTCCAAACTGGCGTCACAAAAGGCATGCAATTCAACAAATGCATTAGGTAACGAAACGAAACGTGGAAACGTTAGTTTTCGAACTAAATAAAGATTATTATAGAGTGAGTTCCATGCAGTGTGCAATTTGATTGGCAAGCTCTCATCCCAGTCCAGCTTGTGCTTCCACAATTGCTGCAAAAATATTTTAGCCATCGATATTACAGGTCCAATCAGGCCAAGAGGATCATAAAACCTAGCAATAAGCGAGAGAATGGATCGCTTTGTAATATTTTTTATATTTTGTTGTGATGTAAAAGAAAAGAAGAAGTTATCATTAGTCGGATTCCACAAGAGACCAAGGATCTTTGTGAATTCACTGCCATCATCAAATTTCAGCACTGGTTCCCTGTCGACTTCAGGAATATCATTCAGCACAGATGACTGATTTGAGCTCCATTTCCTTAATTTGAAGTTGCCCTTGCTAAGTAATGAAGATGTTTGTCGCATAATGTTAAGAACTTCGTGTTCGGAGCTGCCTCCAGTAATCAAATCATCAATGTAGAAGTCACGAAGAGTGATTCTCGAGCCTAATGGAAAATTTTCAGCTTCATCAGCCGCCAATTGTTGCATAGCTCGAACTGCTAAGAACGCTGCTGGCTTAGTGCCATAAGTAACAGTATCTAATTTATATACCTTTAACGGTTCCTGATAATCGTTTCTCCATAGTATACATTGTAGAAAATTATCAGGTGGAGTAATGCGAACACAGCGATACATTTTGCAAATGTCTGCTGTCAACGCGATAGGAAAGGATCGGAATCGAAGAAGTATGTCAATCAAATTGGACTGGATTGTAGGTCCTGACATAAGTATATCATTCAGAGAATATCCTGTAGAAGTTTGTGCTGAACCGTCAAACACAACACGCAGCTTTGTGGAAGAACTAGACGCCTTTAGAACACAATGATGTGATAAGTAATACTTCGGAAGGCATGCTTCAGTGTCAGCAACTGGAGACATGTGGTTAAGATCCAAATATTCCTTCATGAAAGCAGTGTATTGCGTCTTGCAATTGGGGTTTAGCTGTAGTTTGCGTTCTAAGCTATGAAAACGTCGCAAGGCTTGAATATATGAGTCTCCAAGTAGATCTATATCTAATCTTAGCGGTAAACGAACAGAATATTCACCTGACTCATTGCGAGAAAAATGCGTCCTAAAATGGGTTTCACAATCTAAATGTTCTTTCGTTGTTTTGACAATCGAATCAAAACAGTTTTCCGTTTCCCAAAACCTTTTGACTTGTTGATCCAAACTTTGATCGTGTTCAATTTGGGATGATGTTGTTTTAAAAGCCGCTAATGTGGCTAATGGAGTAGCATATTGACTACCACCTGAAACTATCCATCCGAGTAATGTTTTTTGTAGTATTGGCAATTGGGGAGCCAAGCGAATTTGACCAACGCATAATAATTCGAAGAAAAGAGCTGCACCTATAAGAACATCAATTCGTTGAGAATTGTTAAATGTTGGGTCTGCAAGCTGTAGATTTTTTGGAATATTCCAATCATTAGTATTGATGTTACTACTGGGTTGCTGATCAGTGATTTTAGTGGTGATAACTGCAGTAATATTAGTTGAGTATTTGCCAAAACGAGACTGTATAGTTAGCTCTGTGGAACTATTAGAGACAAAATCCCCATCACCAATTCCAGATACCACAGTGACGGATTTTGTTGATTTCAGCTGTAGTTGATTTGCAAACGATTTTGTAATAAAATGTAATTGGGAAGCAGAGTCCAAAATGGCACGGCAAGGCACGAAGGAGCCCGCACGATTCTTTACTAAAATAACGGCAGTAGCCAGGAGCACACATTCTAATGAGGGATAGTTTGGGCGCTGTTGCGATGAATTCGTTGATACCAATGAAGCTTTTATATATGATTCACCAGTTGATGTTGTATTGTTTTTCGCAGTCAAATCAGAAGACATAGTAGAAAGCTCAGAAGATACATTGGTCTGAACGAGATTATTGAAATGTAGAAGTGTATGATGTTGTTCTGAACAGAGACGACAACGCGAAGATTTACACTGCTTTAAATGATGTCCTTTTTTTAAACAGTTTAAGCAAAGGCTAAGTCTTCTAGCTTCATTTAGACGCAGTTTTGGAGAAAGGTTGGCAAATTGAGCACAAGCATAAATGAAATGATTAGCATCATTACAAAATGTGCATCTAGATGTTGGTGATTTTATGGTGACAAAAGTCTTTCGATTAATTGGGGAACACTGGGCTCCCCTGTTGTTATTATTAGCAGCAGCTCTAGTGGAGTAAGTAACGTGCTCTAAAACCTGGCATCTCTTGTCAAGAAATTCAGACATTTCATTCCATGTCGGTATTGTATTAAATGCTGATCTTTCTTCCCATTTCGCATGTGACGTTGGGTCCAACCTTTGCGCAACAAGGTGGATAATAAGACAGTCAGCGATTTGTTCTTTATTGCCCAATGTCGACAGCGCTTGCAAATGCGAATTAATTTTATCACTTAATCGGCGCAGTCCTTCTACTGAATTTGGTTCAACTCGTCGCAGCCCAAACATCTCATTTATGTGTGCCTGAAAAATTAATCTTTTATTGTCAAATCTTTTAACAAGTAAATTAAGTGACTTATCATAATTTAAGTCATTAACTTCAAGTGACTTAATTGTATCTAACGCAGAATCCCTCAAACATGATCGCAGATGCTGAAGCTTCTCTAGATTACTTAGATCTGCACTGCTATCAACAATCGTCTTAAACATAGCATAAAAATGCGGCCATTCTGTAATTTTGCCATTGAATGTAGGTAATTGCAGTTCAGGTAATCTTGACCGAGAATACTTAATGTTGATGGAAGAAGTTTCATCTGTTGATGGATATCTGGTAGATGATTGCACATTGTTAGATCGGCGATTGTTAAGTGCTATCATAAGCGCCGTTTTTAATTCCACATATGATTCGGAAAAATTAGATCTTGCTTCACCTTCAAATTCGTCAAAGTTTTCTTCTTCAAGGTTAGATTGTGATTTTTCAAAATTGTCATTAAGTTGCTCAAGAGTATCAACATAAATTTGCAATTGCACTTCATGACAACAACTTATAAAATCTTCGGATAATTTTTGACTCAAATTAAATAGTTGTTTGGTTAGACGATCACATTTTAATTTGAGGAATGAAGGTGTGTTCTTGTCTTCATTTGACATTATAGCAAAAAGTAAGTAAGTTTGAGTATTAGCAAAAAACAACAAATTGTTAGAAACCGCAATAACACTAAAAAGTCTCCAACGAAAAAGGACCGTTTAATATTTATCCGATAAAATGATCACTGTTACTGAAACCGGTTAAATTGCAAGGTCACATACACAATTGAGCAGCGATAAAAAACTGGTTAACGCTGCGCTGCTTGCGCAGAGAGTACGTACATTAAGACCGAAAAGTTTTCGGAAATTCTCATTTAAAATTCGCGCGCTGTATATTTTTCGATATTTTAAGTTTATGTAGTTTGGCAGCACTGTCCTTAATTACTATGCCAAAAATGAGCGCGATCTGTCAGACAGTTCGTTTACGGCAGCTGTTGAAACCAGTTCACCTCAGTAGGGCGTTGCGAAAAAAACAATGGAAAAAAATATTGAACAAAGAGTTTGCATCAAATTTTGTGTTTCGAACGAAATTTCGTGTGCAGAATCGTTGCGAATGCTACAAAAGGCTTATGGGGAATCAGTTTTATCGAAAACTCAAGTTTATGAGTGGTACAAAGCCTTCCAGGACGGTCGTACGACCGTCGAAGACATTTCGCAACGCACTACTGAGGTGAACTGGTTTCAACAGCTGCCGTAAACGAACTGTCTGACAGATCGAGCTCATTTTTGGCATAGTAATTAAGGACAGTGCTGCCAAACTACATAAACTTAAAATATCGAAAAATATACAGCGCGCGAATTTTAAATGAGAATTTCCGAAAACTTTTCAGTCTTAATGTATGTTGACGATAAAGGAAAACGGTATATATTCTAACCGAATATAAAATGACTAAAATATGATCGACAAAATATTTCGCAACCGAAACAAATTGTTTGAAAATTTACTAATTATATCGCAACCGAATTTAATTAGTCCACAAATGTTTAGCAAACTATTTCGCAACCGAAATAATTTGTTTAAATGTCCACATAGAATTTTCGCAACCGAAAAATTTGTTTAAAAATTTGCGTAAATTTTAGTAATTTCGTATTAATTTTTCATTATTAATCACGTCGGGGTCACCAATGTTTTGAGAACATCAATCTTTTTTGAAGTTCTTTATTTAAATTCGAATAAAATGAATAGACCGGCGTAAATGAGTTTTGAGAAGCAACTGACTTTATTATTGTAAAACAACATTTCACAAGTAAATTAAAATATAGCAGGGTTGCCAGGCAACTATTATGATTTGTCTAGACACCTACCATCTCGTTTATGTAATGGTATGCTCAGAAGAGAAGACTCAGAGTAACATGCTACACCACTCCTTATTCTAGTCTTCTGAACACGGAATTGATGGGCATATAAAACTATTTTGTTGATTATCATTAACTTTTTTAAGTATTAACAGGTCGTACAGCATCATTTAAATATTCCCATTCAGTAATTTATTATTATTATAGCAAGATTGCCTACTACAGAAAAAAATCCATTTCAACCTAAAGGTTGAATATAATTTAATGAAAGTACTGTGAACATAATGATGACTAATATTTTTCAATATTTATAAAAAAAAAATTACAATTCGCATTTACCGCCTCTCGACTACTTTTTATAGGGCTATGCTAAGTCATTGGTTTATACCGACAACTGACAAACCAGCAAATCTTAAAGCATTGGAAGCCAATATTCATGACCTAAAAATTGGACTTAGCAAATGCCGCGGCGGACATATGTCGGAAATCAGATTCAAATCAAATTTCATTCCAACAATATTTTGGTCTTGTATCAAAAATACCCGATATATCATACAGTTTTGTTGCATAAAACATTGCATATGTATTATACAACATATAATACATAAACATATAGTATGTTCATGTTGAGTCTTTTTCGAGTAAGTGCATCTGGACACTTTTACTCTTTAAAATCTGTGGGGTTTCTGCAGAGTCCCACCCTTCTCACTGACTAATCTATGTATTCCTCAAAAGCCGCACGGGACGGTAGATTATTCTGAGATTAGATAGTGCTAAGTAGGGTAGCCTGTTGGTGTTCGCGAATAGCTTCAAGACTCTGTCCCTTATATATATTTTGACCAGGTCTATATATTATAATTATTATGTCCATACTCCATTAGAAGCTTAAAGACTCTACAAAAGTTTTTCACACTGGTTTCTATTTTCTGCTATACATATGTTTATTTATTTATTTTTGAGTTATTAAAATCAAAAGTTTAAAAAAGTTAAAAGTTAACTAAGAATAAGGAACTGGACTACTTGGTTCTTCACCCTATATATATGCTAATTTGTATAAAACAAAACAAAAATAATATAAAACAGTGCAGATCAGCTGTTCGCGTAGCTCCAACATTTGCGAGCATTTTCGAGCGAACTCTAAAGTACTCAGTCTGCTTCAACGAAACAGTACGCGAACACAAAAATAATGAAATAATTTTTTCTTAAAAATTTTCTTAATTTTTTTGTTGTTTTTTTTATGAAACATCTTCAGGCTTAATATTTTCTTTTGCTTATTTCCACTTAAAAATAATATAAAAAAAGTTTTTTTTTAAATACCTTGAATTTTTTTCTTAACGATCTCAAACATAATAATTAAGTTATTTCTTTTTGCACTTTCTAAGGTCTTGATCAACACCATTCAGTAATCCATCCACAAAAGTCATTCACATCAAATCATGCATTTTGTCAAAACAGTAGCTCTTCAGTTAGGGTTTTTCTTTATGGTATATAGTGAAGACGTCGTTAATAACGTAAACATCGTTACACTTGGCCAATAGTGCCAACATTGCAACTTGTTACACTTGTTACCGTTTTGTTTGGCGTTAACATTCATTAACCTCATGTGTTACATTTTTTGCCACAAAATACCTCACTTGTTTACCTCTTTTTTATGATTCTTGTTATGACAATTACAGCGGCTTTTGTTATGTTATTAACTTAATTTTTTCACTTACAGCGAAGTCATTTTGCTTTCATTCGCTGTTATTTTTGTTGCTATCGTGGATGTTGCTACTCTCGCGGCTGTTACTACTGTTGTTTATTTATGTTGGCGGTTTTTTGTTGTAGGTTTTTTGTTGTCGGTTTTTTGTTGTCGGTTTCTTGTTGTCGGTGAAATGGGGTAAGAGTCCACATATGCAACATATAAGCGTATAAGCCATACAACGAATGATTTCCAAATTTTACAGCGACATTTTACTTTCCTTTTTTAAAAACTTTTGTCATTTGTTAAATTTTACGAAACTTAAAAATTTATAAAAAGTTTTCTTAACTCTTAAGCAGACTTGGTTGGTTTGATTAAAAATATTGAAAGTGAAATGAATTTTGCATTAAAGTAAGTCAAACTTCAAACAACTTCGTTGCATTTTAACACTTTCGTTTTCAGTTTTTCAGTTTATCAGTTTTTTTATTTACTAAGATATAATTTGAGAAAACAATTTACATAGAGTAATAAATAAATAAAACAACTTTAATTCGATAAACATAAAACCAAACCAGTTTAACACGAGCTTAGAAACTTAGCTTAACATTAATATTGTGCTAAATTGTTAGCATAACATAATGTATTGAGCAAGCGCTGCTAAAAGTATCTCAAAGCTGTTAACAGGCAAAATCTTCACCTTTGAAAATATTTGAAATAAAAATATTTGTATGTGAATTTAAGCGAATCAATCATATATTTATGTATTTGTAACATTTCTCGAAGAACCGTCAAGCAGGTCTGGTACTTCAACCCTCAACCAAAAGTCAATATTTTTTATATTTATTATTGTATATATAATAATTATTAAAAATACATATACGAAAACGAGTTTTTTTAGTCATCTTCAAGTATCACTTTTATTTGTGTGATCATAGCACCATTAGTTAACATCATTAACATTTTATTTTAACTATTTTGATCTTTTGATATTTTAAATGTCGTCTTTTATAATGGAAATTAGTTAAAATAACAAAACTGATTTTTAAAATTCATGACAAAAATTTTAGATTTTTGTTTTATATTAAATTTAATCGGAATAAAATTATCTGATGTCTGAATTCTTTTTCATAAGTTCTATTTCATATTTTTTTCTTCATAATTTTTTTTCATAATTTTTTTTTCATAATTTTGTTTTTTCATAATTTTGATATGGTGATTATTACATAATATGTATATTTCGATTAATTAAAAATGATATAATCATAACCATTTTTATGAGAATAAGTATTAGCGACTTTAATAGTTTGCTAATAAAAATGTGCGATAAATATTTTATATTTTTTTAAATAAAAATCGATTTAATATTCATTCTAAAATATAATAATTATTTTATTGAAAAAAATTTTTATTAATATATATATACGCAAACTGGTTATAGTATTTTACAATAATACAAAATTATTCTTAAAAGTGTTAAAAGAATAATAAGTAATAAAATAATAATTACTGAAGTGTTGATAGTAATATTCTTATGGAGTTCTTATCTATTCTTAATTAATAATAAATGTTAAGGTTGTTAAAGAATAAATTTTTATGTCTACATTTAATCGGCTTATATAATGATATGATGAAAAATAATGCATCAATCATCAAAATGGCATTTCTTAAATATGGGAGGTGTATTTCAAAGTAAATTGCAACTTTTAAAAGTAAGTAAAATGTTCTGAGATTATATATTAACAACTACAGGTGTTCAAACCAAACCTTTAATTTTAAGACAAAAAAAACTAAAAAAAACTTTTGTTTTATGAGTAGATCTCTAACATACTTGAATAAAAGTGACACCACAAAGCAGCTGGTACATAAAAGAAAGATATATAGTACAGAAATTCAGTTAGGTATTTTACAGTATACTATAGGATGAAGAAATAAGACTCGGTAAAGGCAATTCAATAATACAGTTCATCAAAGAAATTAAGTTTAAATTATATATTCTGATATATTCTGAATTTATAAAGAAATTACCAAAATCGTCAAACCTTATAATCATAAGTACTCTACATACGCTACATATGTTAATATATTT